TGTATGAAATTTAGAATTAGTTCTGTGCTGACTGTTTGGGTTATGACCTCGTTACTGATTGTTTATCTTCTGGTCACAATTGCAGTCTATCTCAGAAATCTTATGTCCATGGCTACTACAAGTTTGTTAATGGCTTCTTGTGTGTTATCCATGTTTGACACTGGCAGCATATGAATATGCTTTATATGAGATGTCTCTTTGTGCTGATCAGGATTGTCTTGCGCTGTAAGAGGTCCCAGGTCACCAAGTTTACAATGAGTGCCTGGAGGTGATGGATTGGAACAAATAGTAGCAGATGGGATGGTAGCAGGAAGGAGGGGCAGGGGCCCACCAACACGAAGATGGGCACATAATATAAGTGACTCCTTGAATATGAAAGTACACAATTTGGGAGAGCTGGCGAGAGACCGAGTTTCTTTCAGGCGTGATGAGAGCAACTTTCTGCAAAGGACCTGCAATATGATGATTATTCGGTATGCACACAGTATGATAAACATATTACTGTGGATCGCAGTATACTCATGCATTAGATTCATCATTGTCATCACCATTCTACTTTGTCGTTACATGTCACATAGGACATCCAGTTTATTCCTCCATTCGATACTATCTTGTGCAATCCTCTCAATATCATGCATGCAATCCAGTCCAGCGCCTTTGGCCTCTCTCGTCAACGTTTGTCTCAGTGTTTCTCTTGGTCGTCCTGGTGTCTTCGGTCCTTGTGTTTCCCACTTTAGATAGGAGGACACAATAGACAAGATAACAAATCGAAAACTGTAGTTACCATACCAGGTTTACCTTCGATTCCTGATGTTGTTTACCGTAATGTTTCTATGGCCTCAATGGTCCTCCATTGCTTTATTTGTGTATGTTTATTATTAAATGCACGTGTAACAGGTAAGCGTTAACTCAGCGACAAGGAAACGGCAGGGAATAAATCAGGCTAACTTATCAGCACTTGTCAGTTTGTAATGCGACGTGATTTATTTTGGTTATCTGTGAAGTGTTTGTGCTTTTTTGTTAATTGAGATGAATGGCACCGTAAGTCGGTAGCTGGTAGTGGAAGCTTCAGCGTCATTGCAAACGGGAGCAGCCTTTAATTGCTGCTCCGGTACCAGCGAAGAGCTTCTTCATTAATATTACGTCACAGGACAGTCCAACATTTTAGAGGGTGGTGAGACTGAGTTTCCCGTCTTTCTGATGCTTTTAACGACCCAAAAACAACAAGAGCTGGCCCTATCCCCACCCCCACGAGAGAGTGCAGCCTAAGTCCCACGACTGCATGCAGCCTAGGTCCCACGACTGCATGCAGCCTAGGTCCCACGACTGCATGCGGCCTATCTACCACCCCCTGCAATATTAGACTGTTCCGTGACCTGTGGATTTCCCCTATATGGGATAGGATATTAATAAAGCATAAGCGAAGATGCCACAAAAAAGCCCTTCACTGTCGTGTTTGAAGCCTTGTGAACAAACAAGCGGAGCACCTTCCGGTGCGAGAATCAACTCTCCGATATAGGGCAAAAGGCTGGGCAGTGAACAGGCAACTAGAAAATGGGGTACTTTCATTTTAGCTTACCCCAAACACGGGAAACCCCCGGAATCCCCTGAAAAGTAAAAAATAGTAGGAGTGTTACGATTTGAAATAAATACCGACTAACTGTAACGTTAACCCTAATATCTCTATAATATTGGACTCTGCTGGGGATTCCGGGGTTCTCCTGTGAGCTAAGATGAAAGTACTTAAAGTAGAATGAAGTCTCTGGAAATGTGGATGTACAGAAAAATTGGTCGTATTATGCTTATATGGGGATGGGGGGAAAAAGTGGGGGGGGGGGGGGGGGGGGGGGGGGGGGGAAGGGCTAAAAATAAAGATTCTGAAGAATCTAACTGAAAGGAAGTTCCTAACTAAGTTAAAAATGAGACACATTAAAAGATATAGCGCTCTTTGAAAAACTGTACTAAAGGGAAAGGTTGAGGGCACGAGAGCAAGAGGTAGACAACGCTACAAGTGGGAGGACAACATGATGGACAAACAGCTGCCTGAGAGAGTGTAAAAATAAGAGAAGAGACGGCACATGGTAGAGATACATTGCAGCCAGCCTTTACTTTGAAGACGACACCTGTTTGAGTGACTGATTGTGATTGATTGTGTTGAAAAATTGATTGAACAAACAGTAACAGATAAGCTGTTGATTGAAGAAAAAAACAAACCCAGACACATTTCGGCAATAGATATAGCACTCTTATTTAAAAAAACAAAACAGATTCGAAAGAAAAGTTAAAGACAGACTAGCAAGAGGCAGTCAGCAATACATGTGGGAGGACAACATCAGTTGATGGAATAATAGCAGTATAAGACAGTGTACATCCACGGCGAAAGAAAAAGAGTGTTGGCGATCTGTGGTTGTCCAGCGTGTTTGATTGTGGAGATGACCCTTGATTGATTGACTGGACACACAGTTAGACCCGGCAGAATCCAGAAATAGGCCCACTCACGGCACATACGAGTATAAGTTCCCTGTCACTTCGTGGAGCTCGAGGCACCTGCTCGTTTTGCCAAAGGCTGTCTTCAGTACTAGAGACGGTCTTGGTTTTGCCCCTAACAAGTCTGTCGTAGGAGGCGACTCATTACAATTAGGGACGTTTCCTTTAATGTTTTTAGTGCATCTGTCTGAGAGGCAAGGACCCAACAGGCTGCACACTAGCAAGTCAGATCTGTAAAACAAATGTGCACGCAAAGCTCAAGTTTTAGAACAAGGTCCAGAAATAAACCAACAGACAGAACTTTTATCCGGAGTTTACAACCGGTAAACTACATTGAGACAACTATCAGAGAGGGCGATAGAACATGATAAGACATGTTTGTTGACATTCATAGACCAAGAAAAAGCCTTTGATAGAGTCGACAGGAATATGTTGTGGAATGTATGGGGGAAAAAAAAGGAATCAGCAATCATCTCATTAATATTTGCAAAATCATGTACACACGTAGTAAATTCTGCATATGATGGAAGGCAGGGTTGTCAAGAACTTTTATAGTGAACTCTGGTGTGCATCAGGGTTGTGTACTATCGCCGCTTCTTTTTATAAAAACATGGATACCATATGTAGCGAAGTTAACTTTAATCATGAAGAAGATATTACAGAATTACTATTCGCCGACGACCAGGTAATAATAGCAGAAAATACCAATGCCTACAGAAGCACCTAAATCAAATTAGTAACAAAAGGGAGGAATATAATATGAAAATAAACACTACGAAGACAGAGAAAATGATGATAGGAAGACATAAAGACAATTTAGAAATAAAATTAAAAAACAACACCCTGAGACAAACAGAGGAATTTAAGTATTTGGGAGCAGTTTTCACATCCGACGGAAAACTGGACAGAGAAATTAGCTCCAGGTGTGCCAAAGCTAATCAAGTAATGCGGCAACTATCTCCCCTGTTGACACACACGCAGATACCTCGGAGTACTAATGTGAATCTTATCACAACTATTTTTTTGGCCAACACTATGGTATCAATGCCAAACGTGGACACTTACATCCTCCAATGAACGTAAAATTGCTACAACAAAGATAAAATGCCTTAGAAAAGCTGCAGGAGTTTCATGGAAAGACAGAATTCGAAATCATGAAATCAGACGAATGCTAGGAATAAAGCCAGTCTTACAGGTCATCAAAGAACAACAAATGAAGTGGTTTGGACACCTAACAAGAATGTCCTGGTACTATCTGCCACAGCGAGCCACACTAAAACGTTAAAACGAGTATAGAGCGAGTGGAAGACCTCGGAAAATATGGAGTGATGGCATTAAGAACAGCCTTACAGAAATAGACATCAGTCTTAATAGTGCTCTTGACAGAGCTCATCAACGTGCATTACATCTCCCCCCGACACTTCGATGATGTACAAGGTGGAAGAGAAGAAGAAGAAGAAGAAAAAAGACAACCGGTAAACGCCAAGAACAGAGAGGAAGACCGACCGCGTTGTCCTATAAATGTGTTCTATGATTCATTTCATAAGTGGTCACTGTTGTTTTGTGGTCGTGAATCAGTCCAGAAAATATAGGACATTGACACCCACAGGTGCCCTTGCTGCTATTCTGCCCCTCCCCCTTGTTCGTCCGACAGTAGTGACAGCCGATTGTTCAGCCAGCAGTGGCAAATTACTTAATTTAAACTGCCAAGTAAAATCGTAATCAGTCAACAAGTGCTTGGGGTTGGTTCTGCAGCGTCTTGTACTCTAAAGGATGAGCAAATGTTGCTTTTTAAGAGGACGTCAGTGGACGTCGCTTAGTACAGCAAAGCCTGGCGTATGAAATCACGTCTTGCTTGAGAATGGAGGTGGAGGCAGTCACTGCTGCCTTTCGCTAGCTTGAGAACAGTGGTACACACATATCATAACTGTAAATGACTCACAAAGTATATTGGGAAGGTGTAGCTGGGCATGCTCTGTGCAGAGGGGCAAGCATCGCTTCAGGGGGGTCCCGAGTAGTTAGCGTCCTTTTGGGTATTTTCTCCAGGTGATGCTGGGTTGTTGGGAAACGAGCAAACAGACAGAATGGCCGGTTGTGCACCACTTGATGTTAAACTGATGACAAGCTAGATGTTGTGAGCGAGTGAACAGTGCGGAGGCACTAACAGATCATTACCGCCTGAGGAGAATGGCACTGGGAGAAGTTACCAGGGGATCTGGCCGACGCTGAACAGTTAAGGGAAAGGCAAGACAATCATACAGTTACTGGTACCATCGGAATTGGAGCTCTACGCGAATGTTGTGATGTCGATTGTTAATTCAACGTTGAACATTTTTTTAGAGTAGGGTAAAGGTATGTTCATCCCCCCTCCCCCTTCCTCTAATGAGATCCCCGGAACCCACACAGAGAAATAATCAAAGTACAATCATGCTTGCCACATAGTGTTTGCTGACTAGTAGTTTCACACATACATGATGCGTGACGTATCTGGTTTTATTGTTCTCCTCCTGCAGGGTGACTCACTCAAGTACTTTTTGGATAACATAGACAGAATTGGCACGGCAGTAAGTACTGTATGTTTAAACAACATTTCTAAATGTCCCTCTTGTATAGTACATCGTCAGTGTCCGTCGGTTCTTTAAATTTAATTTGTTGTGCCATGTAACTTCTTGGTGTGTGCATGTGGGTTTTCATCTCTCGTTGTCTGCTTCTGTGTCTTTCCATAGGCCACATGTTTCAATATGAACTCCGAACGAATCGTAAGTGCATCGTCCGTCTGGCTGTTGTTTGTCGCTCCCATGTATTGCTAAATAGTCTGTTTTTTCATTTCTCATAATGTTGAAGTGGTCTTGGATCCATCGAGGAACAGTCTGTTGGTCAGCTGACCCATCTGATTCGGCAGAAACCTGAGCTTGTTGAACTGTAGGAGTACAGTATGGCACGGAGTACCGAAGTTCGTCAGTGTAACCACTTTTGACTCAGTGCTGCATTCACTGAGTGATATGGATACTGCTTCTTCCACTGCCCCTCCCTTAATTTTTGGTAATCGTAGGAGTGTTTTTCTGCCTCATTTGATCCACTCCCTTTGGATACCTCCTGTTCCGTTCCTTAAAGCTTCTATTGATGAGCCATCTGCGAATACCATCCATCGGTTTTGTGTGGTCTTGTTTTAAAATCGGAACTGTTTTTTTTTTTTTTTGTATTTTTGAGGAAACATGTTTAATTCAATCATAATTCATCTAGGCCAGGGCTACTCAACTCGGGGGCCAGCATTAAAAAAAAAGAGACAGTCACAGGCACGGAGCCCCAGTATAGAACAATCGGACCAGAGCACGGAGCACCAGTGTAGAACATTTTGGCCAGAGCACGGAACCCCAGTATAGAACAATTGGACCAGAGCACAGAGCACCAGTATAGAACAATCGGGCAAGAGCACGGAGCCCCAGTATAGAACAATAGGATCAGAGCACGGAGCCCCAGTATAGAACAATCGGGCTAGAGCACGGAGTCCCAGTATAGAACAATCGGGCCAGAGCACGGAGCCCCAGTATAGAACAATCGGACTAGAGAAAGGAGCCCCAGTATAGAACAATCGGGCCAGAGCACGTAGCCCCAGCATAGAACAATCGGGCCAGAGCACGTAGCCCCAGTATAGAACAATTGGGCCAGAGCACGTAGCCCCAATATAGAACAATCGGGCCAGAGCACGTAGCCCCAGTATATAGAACAATCGGGCCAGAGCACGTAACCCCAGTATATAGAACAATCGGGCCAGAGCACGTAGCCCCAGTATATAGAACAATCGGGCCAGAGCACGTAGCCCCAGTATATAGAACAATCGGGCCAGAGCACGTAGCCCCAGTATATAGAACAATCATGAATAAAATATAAATAGCGAGGATCTGCGGGCCTCAAGCTGGGCCTCGGTGCGTCAGATTTGGGCCGCGGGTCGCCAGTTCAATAACCCTGCTCTATGGTGTCTCTGATTTGTGGGAATCACTCGGGGTCATTTAATGGGAATTCAGATCAGTAGGCAATTCTATTTTGGGGCCAAGAAGACGAAGCTTGTATTTTCTGTGTAATTATTTGGCAATACTCAACGCAAAGTAGCCCGAAACAAGAATGCGTGAAACTCAACCCCACCAGGGCCGCACAACGAGCGATAAACACCCGGTGACACAATCTGCTGCCATTTCGATGAGAATCACTTGTGCATAAGTCCTAAAAACCCCGTTCAACCGTTAGGTTACACTAGGGCCCCTGACAACAACCGGAGTGGGGTTTTAAAATACCAAACAATTTGCGTCCCTTATTGGGACGGCTTGATAACAGATGATATGCCGAAACATGAACAAGGAAGCTAAAATATCAGCCCAGATGTGGCTGTCATTGACGCTGACTTTCCACCTCCGTCAGTGATAATTCTGTATTATTGTTTTGTAAAATGATGTTGATCTCCCAAGTCATATTTTGATCAAACTGCTGACTAGATGTTTATTGTAATGCAGTTGTGGAAATGTTTTCGTCTTCTTTGTATCGAAGAACAGCTTCCTTTTGAGAATAGACTATTTCTCACCGGTAGTTCATTGGCCCACAGTATGCCATCTCACCTTTGACCTATATGTGTGATTGCGGAAGAATGTTACCCCAGCAGGAGCTTGGCTGTTTCACGTGATCTGTCTGCATTCCGGCTTGATGCCCCGTGCCTCTGATCATGCTGCTACCGCTGCTGCTGCCAGTACTACTGGTTCTTTTTTCTTCTTTTGTCGTATCACTGATACCAGGTTGTAGCCCAGTGTCGTGGTTTTGTCTTCTCACTGATACCAGGTTGTAGCCTAGTGTCGTGGTTTTGTCGTCTCACTGATACTGGGTTTTCGCCCAATGTCGTGGTTTTGTCTACTCACTGATACCAGGTTGTAGCCTAGTGTCGTGGTTTTGTCTTCTCACTGATACCAGGTTGTAGCCCAGTGTCGTGGTTTTGTCGTCTCACTGATACCAGGTTGTAGCCCAATGTCGTGGTTTTGTCTTCTCACTGATACCAGGTTGTAGCCTAGTGTCGTGGTTTTGTCTTCTCACTGATACCAGGTTGTAGCCTAGTGTCGTGGTTTTGTCTTCTCACTGATACCATGTTGTAGCCCAGTGTCGTGGTTTTGTCGTCTCACTGATACCAGGTTGTAGCCCAGTGTCGTGGTTTTGTCGTCTCACTGATACTGGGTTTTCGCCCAGTGTCGTGGTTTTGTCTTCTCACTGATACCAGGTTGTAGCCTAGTGTCGTGGTTTTGTCTTCTCACTGATACCAGGTTGTAGCCCAGTGTCGTGGTTTTGTCTTCTCACTGATACCAGGTTGTAGATTAGTGTCGTGGTTTTGTCTTCTCACTGATACCAGGTTGTAGCCCAGTGTCGTGGTTTTGTCGTCTCACTAATACCAGGTTGTAGCCCAGTGTCGTGGTTTTGTCTTCTCACTGATACCAGGTTGTAGCCCAGTGTCGTGGTTTTGTCTTCTCACTGATACCAGGTTGTATCCCAGTGTCGTGGTTTTGTCTTCTCACTGATACCACATTGTAGCCCAGTGTCGTGGTTTTGTTGTTTCACTGATACCTGGTTGTAGCCCATTGTCGTGGTTTTGTCTTCTCACTGATACCAGGTTGAAGCCCAGTGTCGTTGTTTTGTCGTCTCACTGATACCAGGTTGTAGCCCACTGTCGTGGTTTTTTCGTCTCACTGATAACAGGTTGTAGCCCAGTGTGGTGGTTTTGTCGTCTCACTGATACCCGGTTGTAGCCCAGTGTCGTGGTTTTGTCGTCTCACTGATACCAGGTTGTAGCCCAGTGTCTTTGTTTTGTTGTCTCATTGATACCAGGTTGTAGCCCATTGTCGTTGTTTTATCGTCTCATTGATACCAGGTTGCATCCCAGTGTCGTGGTTTTGTCTTTTCACTGATACCAGGTTGTAGCCCAGTGGCGTTGTTTTGTCTTCTCATTGATACCAAGTTGTAGCCCAGTGTCGTGGTTTTGTCGTCTCACTGATACCAGGGTTTAGCCCAGTGTCGTGGTTTTCTGTATTTGTCTTGCGCTTTCCGGAGTAGTGGATTTGTTTATTTTATTTTTGCTGGTTTCTTCTACACCATGTCTCTAACTCTTTCTTGATCTTCCTGTCGCCCTCCCCTAGATGTGCTGCTGTAAAATATCTGATATGCAGAAGGAGAAAATTAACAAAACCGTTAGACAGAATCCATTGAACAATACTGAATGAGAGGATAAGAATAGCAAGGTAGATAAATATAATCTACGGAACAATACTGAGAGGGGGGAGGGGGAGAAGCAGAATATCAAGGTAAATAAACAGAATCCATGGAACAATACTGGGTGAGAAGAAAAGAATAGCAAGATAGATAAATAGAATCCCTGGAAAAATACTGAAAGAGAGGAGAAAAATAGCAAGGTAGATAAACAGAATCTATAGAACAATACTTAAGGGGGGGGGGGGAGAAGCAGATTATCCAGGTAGATAATATAATCCATTGAACCATAACGGGTGAGAAGAAAAGAATAGCAAGGTAGATAAATAGAATCCGTGGACCAATACTGAATGAGAAAAGCAGAATAGCAAGGTAGATACATAATATCCATTAAACAATACTGAGTGAAATGAAAAAAATAGGAAGATGGATAAATAGAATCCATGGAACAATACTGAGTGAGAAAAGCAGAATAGCATGGCAGTTAAATAGAATCCATTGAACAATCCTGAGTGAGACGACAAGAATAGAAAGATAGATAAATAGAATCCGTGGAACAATACTGAGTGAGAAAAGCAGAAGAGCATGGTAGTTAAATAGAATCCATGGAACAATACTGAGTGATAGAAGGAAGAAGAACAGCACGTTAAAATCTCTGGAAACGAACTATTAGGGGCGAAAAATGACAAGTCTAAGATGCATGATCTAAAATAAAAATTTCTATAATATATATTTCAACTCTTACTAAGCAAGTTTCCATTGAAGTCAGAGTGCATCTGCGTCAGAAGCGGAGACTCAGTAGTCTGCATACAAATACGCCAGATCTGTAAAACGGATTTGCAAAACTCAAGTTCTGGAACATGTCTCAAGTCCAGAAGTGGACGAACAACCCGAACTTTTTCCAGAAGTATACAGTTGTTGAAAGCTAAGACGAAGAGACTAAGTAAGTGGTATAGCCTCTTATAATATCAAGATGGATGTTCGGATGAGTTATATCTCGACATGGCAAGCACTAGGGACATTCCCATTAAGCTTTTCGTCCCCATCTTCAACAGTACGCGCAGTATTCCAGTTCCGGTGGTGCCGGTGAAAGTCTTATTGTTATTCTTCTTGCCTTGTCCCTGAGTGTTGAGCGTCGACCAGATCTCTATACTGGTGACTCCTCGCTGCGGCGTTATCTATAGACATTTCCAGATGAACAAACACGTTCAGTGACAAGAGCAGAAGTTTAGATCAAAGCTTTCGAACTTTTTTATTTGCATCTAACTGTTATGGATGCCCTTCAACATCTGATAAAGTCAGAGTGTCTGTCTTACAACACCAAGAT